GACGGTCCAAGGCGTGCGAAGCTCCGTGCAGGCGGACTGAAGCCAGCGTTGATGTGATCCAGAATTGGCATCAACAGGTCAAGGGTCATGAGGCCATAGAGCAGAAGCATAAGACCAGGCCACAAGAAGCCTCTTGGAAACAATAGCAAGTCCAGGTTCGCACAATCCAGCGGGAGTGGCATAGGGCCGAGCCGGGTCATGCCCCAAATAAGCAGCAGGAAGCCGGGACGCACAAAGGTGCGAGTTGAAGTCGGGAGGCCTATGTTCACGAAGTCCAGCACGGACAAGGTCAATTCCGAGCGCGCCAGACCATATGCAAGAAGCATAGGTTCTGGGTGGAGGAAGGTCTTCAGAAGTGTCAAGAAGTCAGATTGAACATGATCTGAGGCCGACGAAGAGAAGCCTAGTCTGCTCATGCCATAGATCGATGTGGAAGATCCTGACCACAAGGAGGCCCGTAGCAACAAGAGCAGTCCCAGCTGCACAAAATCAGGCACCAGCAAGAAGGCTTCCAGACACCCGATTCCATAAGCCAAAAGAAACGAGTCTGGTCATGCAAAGCCTTGGGTGGACATGGAAGATGCAGCTACAGCGCTGCCTCGCACGGGCAGTCCGGGTCCAGGAATTGTCTCCTTCCATGCTGAAAGTATGCTTCCAGGCCTGGTGAGCCCTCGGAGAAAAGAAGTTAGGCCGGAGCTGACGGAGTCAAGGGCAAGGAGGGGGAGTCCCAGCTGCGACATCCCATACACGGACATAACAAGCCCTGGGCGGATGTAACCATGCAAAGACAATGTGCTTTCCAGGCTGATAGGGTCCGGCACGGGCAGTGAGCTGTCCAGGCGAACCATGCCGTAAACTGGGAGCGCGCTGCCACAGCGAATGGATGAGCGAAGTGGCAAGAACAGCCCTGGATGCGAAGGGTCAAGTGGTAGCATCGAGAGTTCTAAACAAGCCATGCCAGAAGCCAGCGAGGGGAATCCCGATTGAACGAACCCGTGAAGTGAAGCCGACAAG